ATTGGCTCCGCTGTCCGTGGTGCTGAAACAGGACTGCTGCATTTTCCAACCCTCTTCCTGCCGTTTTCAGGGCGGAGATGATCTGGACCCAAACTACGTGCTGAGCTCTCGGGTCCGGACCGGAAGGAGCATCCGTGGCTTCTGCCTGCCGCCGCACTGCAGCCGCGGGGAACGCCGCGCCATCGAGCAGCTCTCCATCGAAGGTACACAACCATTCCTGCAGCTCGCTGGGGTCCAGTTCCATAACTCCAGAACTTCTGATCTTGATTTGCTGGAAGCTTCATGTGAACATGGCAGGTTTTTACGTAAAAGCAGCAGGAAACAGAACGATGGGTGAAGGTTATGACAGGTTAGGCGTGGAAGGCGGAGGGACCACAACTGAAACAGAACCTGAGGCCGGCGTTCAGGAGGATGATTAGTTACCTCTGTTATCTGAGCAGCTTGGACCTGAAGCAGCTCCACCATCATCAGCACCACGCCGTGCTGCGTTCAGGGACACCCTGGTGGTGAAATCCTGGGGTTTCTCTGCCTGTCCAAGCTTCTTTAGATCTGGCTGCATCGGATAAGTCTTTATTTTTAGACTTCCCATCATGCCTCAGTGAGCCGCCGGCGTAAGCAGCAGCAGATCAAACTGTTGCGTAACCATGAGCAGAACGTCGTCCTGCAGAAAACCATAATGAGCTCAGCAGCTTTTCTGCTCCAGATAAACACAGGAGGACCCTCTGCTGCCCCCTGCTGTTCAAACAGAACATTTAGGTTTTTTTTCCAGGAACAGGCGGAAGCTCAGTGAGGAACTCTGATGGCATCCGGTTCAGCACTCTGGACAGAACCACAAACCCATTTTGACCAGAACTTAGACTGATCCCTTCCCTGCTGCTCAGGGATGCTTCATCACCCACAGCAGAGGATCGGCCATCTGTCGCCATGGAAACCATTACCGTGGCAGCCTAGTGGTTAGGGAATAGAGCTTGGAATCCAGTGGTTCTGAGTTTGAATCCCACTCCCTCAGACTGCCACACTGCTCCCTGGGCGACGCACAATGGCAGCCCACTGCTCCGGGTTAAATGCAGAGAGGGAATTTCATTGCTCTGTACTGGAGACGGTAGAATGACAATAAAAACACTGGAAAAAAAAAACATTTTAGAAACTGATCTGACTAAAATAATTATTTCCAGTTTTATTAATATATATATATTAGTTATTCTTCATAGTTGAACTTTTCTCAAAGTTTTCACCTTCAATTCAGTTTATTTCTATAGCTTCCAATTCACATCACGTTATCTTTATAGATCTAGATAAATAAGATCATCCAGTCATTGATGTAAAGACAGCAGAGGTTCTCTGGCTGAACCACAGGAGCCGGACTGACGCCTGAAGGTCAGCGGCGTGCAGCTCTGAGGCGGAACGCCACAGAATGTCTGAACTTCTGATGACAAAAATAAAAACAAATCATTTTCTGATCTTTAAAACTCAGATTAAAGATTTTCTAAAGTTTAAAAAGATTGAATCAAAATTCTGGGTCCAGATGTTTTCCAGGACCTTTAACTCCTCAGACTCTGCAGTTAGAACAGGAAACCGTGCTGCGTTCAACGTCGTTAGACGTTGAGGTTGAACATTTTTACAGAACTTCTTCCTTCTACTTGCTTGGTACCGACCCAGTGTGCCGAAGGTACCAACACCTGCTGGCCCAACGAAACCCATAGAGGAGACCAGAACCATGGTGGTCTGAAGGCAGAGCAACCTGGACCTCAGCAGAACCACAGGCTGAGCCCAGACCCGGTTCTGAACGCACAGGCGGTCCGCTGGGACCAGATTGCTCTGAAATCATTTCCTGAGATTCTCCAGAACCTGAAATTCTGAGGTTCTGGTTCCAGACATGGCTTCGCTGTTAGCATCTGATGCTAGCGGCTGAACCCAGAACCTTTGGTCCAGAACCGGCCCTTTACCTCTGACTGGTTCTGCCTGCAGCTCTGGACTCTCTGGAGGGGGACCTGAAGGGGAAGTACTACGCCCTGAAGAACATGACAGAGGAGGAGCAGCAGCAGCTCATCGATGACCACTTCCTGTTCGATAAGCCCGTGTCTCCTCTGCTGCTGGCGTCTGGGATGGCCCGCGATTGGCCCGACGCCCGCGGCATCTGGTCAGTATTCCCGCCTCCCGGCAGCCCGTCTGGACCCGATGGTTCTGACCCGAACGTCCTCCTTCTCCTTCAGGCATAATGACAACAAGACCTTCCTGGTGTGGGTGAATGAGGAGGACCACCTGCGCGTCATTAGCATGCAGAAGGGAGGCAACATGCGGGAGGTCTTCACACGCTTCTGCACCGGCCTCACCAAGGTACGTCCCTCTGTCTCTCTGTCTGTCCATCTGTCCCACCTTCGTCCTCACCAGTCCCCTTCGTCCCCCAGATCGAAGACCTGTTTAAGAACCGAGGACACGAGTTCATGTGGAACGAACACCTGGGCTACGTCCTGACCTGCCCGTCCAACCTGGGGACGGGGCTGCGCGCCGGCGTCCACGTCAAGCTGCCCAACCTCAGTAAGCACGAGAAGTTCGGGGACATCCTGAAGAGGCTGCGGCTGCAGAAGAGAGGGACAGGTAGGCATCGTTTTGGGGGGGGGGAGGGGTGGCCCGGCAGCGGCTCGCATCACTTCCTGTCTGTGTTTCAGGGGGGGTGGACACCGCGGCGGTGGGCGGAGTCTTTGACATCTCCAACGCGGACCGTCTGGGCTTCTCTGAGGTGGAGCTGGTCCAGATGGTGGTGGACGGGGTCAACCTGCTGGTCAACATGGAGAAGCGACTGGAGGGTGGCGAGGACATCGAGGACATGATGCCGGAGCAGAAGTGACCTGTGACCCTAACCCCTCCCCCTCCTCCTCACCTGTCACAACCCCGCCCCCCCGTCCTGGACCTGCAGGACGCTTAGAGCCTCAGTTAGTCTTCCAACATGTGAAGGATTTTCTATCTCCTCATCAGAACCTGTTGGACCCGTCTAACACCTGAAATATCTAATAAAGTCTCTGTGGCCCCAAAGCACAACCTGTCTTCATTTCAAACAGCAACAGTTTCAGACAGGACGCCGTGCTGCGTTCAGTGTCTAAAATCTGCAACAGTTTCCAACAGTACGCCGTGCTGCGTTCAGTGTCTAAAATCTGCAACAGTTTCCAACAGT